AACCAACAAAATTCAGGCTTCATTAAAATTTCTCATAGTGTTAGTAAATTTACTATCATTTACCTTTTGCTGTATTTTTGTGTGGATTAAAAAAAATCATTATCCCTCAAGAAGACTCATTTTTTCCAAAGAACATAAAAATACAATTATGAAAGTAGATTAGTCAGAAGAGAAAACAACAAGAGCAAATAAGTTTTCAAAAGTTCTGTTTGCTTTGGAGATTCTGAAGATAGCTGAGAAATTCAACTTGGGATTGTTTTACTTTCCACAAGGATGCCTTAAATTATCGCAAGATTATCGCTTCCACATGTATGGCGAGCACTCCTGAAATAATGTTTTAAGAGACTCATTTCAGAAAACAATAGGGATTGTGGGTCGATGAAAGGCTTCAGGGTCAGAAGTTGGGGAATTATTACTCTTCTCTCCAGCTCCATTATTAACCTGAGCTGCAGCCTTTAGGAAACTCCTCTTTACTGCTAAAACCTATACTGCTTTCAAGGAATTATAAAACTAAATATTGAGTTGATATTGCTAACGGAAAGCAAAGTCACGTTGGCGGCTCAGCGCATCATGCTCCCATAAGCAGTCCTTTATGGTCTCTGTCATTCGCATGAGAACAGCTTACGTATTTTTTTCTGGCAATATCCACTGGTAAAGTCATCTTCCCATTTTTCAAAATTTTATCTAGAAAAGTTGGATTATCAGTTCTTCAGGAAGTGGATAAATCTTGCTGTCATGCCAACCAAGACTAATATTATGTGAGATGAGCAAAGCACTTTACATACTTCTTTCTTTAAAGGGCACTTTAGCTTATCTCGATGTCTGCTATGTTCTGCACAATTAAAATGAATGTCCCATCTCTGGACTAGCACCTCTTCTCTCTCGAGAGCAGTTATGTCGTTGCTCTTGGCTGCCACAAAGTGGCAGTGTGCCCACTGACTTATCCATCTGTAAACCCAACGTTGGCCTTCAGAATGAACTAGGGCAGGAGAGCTGCACCTCAAGAGGAGAGTCGCAGACAAAGCACAGGAGGCCTGGCTAAATTTGAATTTTAGAAAAATGACAGCATACTTACACTAAAAAAATATTCAGTGACCTTAAATTTAAATTTAACTGTGTCTTGTGATCTTATTTAGTAAATGTGGAAATTCTACTTGAGTGATTTGACTCTTGTAATCATGTAATCTTTTTAGTTGAAATATATTTATTCTTAATGTCTTATTTAGTGATCTGATTTAGTTTTCTATACTGAATTATAGAAAAATCTCAAGTTAAGGAATCTGTATTTCCCCATCCCACTTGACTTCCATTTATCACATAATTCTAGATTCACATTTTTAGTCTCATAATAGAATACTGGCTGCATCACTAATATTAAACTAACAAGTGTTTATTTATCAGACAATAAATACTTTGCTACAGTGTCTTGTGTGCCAAGGAAGTTAGAAAAGACTCTAAAGAGAGGGCAGGAACCGACTTGAACCTTGTGGAGAAAACAATGATGGGCAGAATGGAGATAAAAGAACCTTGTAGATGGGTGGGCAGGTATTTTCTATAGCAAAATAAATGTTTTATAAAAACCTGAAAGATTCAGTCCAAAGAACTAGTTAGAATATTGGAACATTAACATGGTTTATTATTATTTATTCTAGTGCTCAATCTTGGCATATATCATCGTCCCTCAATAATTAATTAATAGAATTATTTCAAGAAATAAAAATGGCACTGGGTTGGGTTAAACTATTTATTCATTTTTTTTCATTTTTAATTCACTTAAAATTTTCTTCTATCCCTTTAATGAAATCACTTCAAGTTTTATCAAATTTCAGCACAACCCAATTTTGACTTTTTATAACATCAGTCCTATGTAATTTTTTGCTATATAAAATTATGTATATTAGTTTACACCAATATACTAGATTTAAAATAGATTTATTTTTTTGTCTAATTCATTCAAAAGGCAGTTGAATTTTTAAACTTTCCAATTTAATACAAAGTGTCCCATAAAACTTTGACTTCAATCTCACTCTACCAGAAATTTTGCATCAAATATATGGTTTGTGAGCTTGCCCTTTCATTTTTCAGGAAATTGAAAATTACACCCTAGATCTGAACTCCTGTAACACTGCAATCATCTATGCTTCTAATTCTAGTCAAGTATATTCTATGTAGAGGGACTTCATATTTTTCATATGTCTACATGGTAAATAAATCATCTATTTCTTATTATAAGGAAGAGATAGTGAAAGAAAATCTGTTACTGCTATATTTTGCATAGTGAATCAGTAATTAAACCTCCTTTGAGCTGCAGATATTGCATAACATACTGAACTAGAAACAAATGCATTATCCATTCATGTTAGAACTGGGAAGTATGTATGCACTATAGCTATTTAATGAGTTTATTATGTGGGGGGAAATTATACTATATTTTACCACTTCAACAATCTTCTATATTTAAGTAACCTTCCTACCTTGAGAGAAGTATTATAAAAATCTTAACCTTTTATCATCAGCATCTCATTTTTTTGATTATATATGTCATATATTCTGCTGGGGCTGTACCAAAAAAATCCATTTTTGTACGCCCCTTGTTTCTAAAATATTTTAAAGCAGCTAATAAAGCAGACTTAAAGGGGTATGGTTATTAACACAGTTACTGTTATGTTATGATCTGAAGGTCTTCAGCAGTTGCTGAGAGGGATGAAGAGCTCATGAGGTTCAAAGCTCTCTAGTGAAGGAACCAAAAGGAAAACTCGAGTGGCTACAGGAACAGCCAAGCAGTGGATGCACTCTCCAGTGTGGAGCCTGACTTGTAAATATTCCACTTGCTAACTGATGGCAAATTTGCATGTCTTCGTAATACAGAGAATAGAAAATAAGAGTAACATCTTACGGAAATCAAGTGTCCTTGCGGGTAAGCGAGTAGATGACGAACCTGCCTTGGTGTGAGGGACTCGGGAAGAAGACCTGGGGCCCGGATGCCTGCCTCCCACTCTGAGCACTGGCCCAGAAGCACGGGATATTTTGACAGCAGAGCAACTAGAGAGCGCTTGATAGGAAGCAAGGGTCATTTAATCCGAGTGGGGCTAGCTGAGTCATGAAGGGAGAGACCATTTATGATGGATGGTAAAGAGCGTGTCTGATGAAAAAGGCCGAATTTCCTTAATATATAAAAGTTCCTATAAACCAATGAGAATAAAACCAAAATCCAATTTAAAAACAGGCAAAGGACATGGAAGACAGCACATTAAAGCAGAAATCTAATGGCTCCTGAACATCTGAAAAGAGGGTCAACCTCATTCATGTTAACAGAAGTGCACGTGAAAACTACAGGGAGACGGCATTTCCCCCATCACAGGGCTGGGAGTACAACACTTTCTCAGGACAGCAGGCATCAGAGATATGGAGGAAGACAGGATAAGATGGCAGTGATGGTGGGGCAGGGGACAGCTGTTTTTGATGGTGTAGATCATTCCAGTTGAGTCGAGGAGTGGGATGGGGAGGGGGTGTGTTAGGAGAAAGGAGGCAGAAAGTAAAAGAAAACAGTGGGGATAGATGATTTGTCTGAGGTGTTTCACTATAACAGAGACTAGATAATAGGAACAATGCTGAGAGGGAAATGAGGAAAAAGAGAGCTTCATTTTATATGTTAAATAAAATACCATTTGTGTATTTTAATTTTTACTACATACATTAGATAGAGAGATAGATGCTTGTATATGAAATATGCAAAGAATATTTCTACAAGGATTCACAAAATACTAATTACAGTGTTTGCTTCTAGAGGCCAGAAGTTGATTTCCTTTTGTGTTTTTACACTTTGTGCCATGTACTTGAATTACCCATGCAGAAATAAAGAATTCATTATTTAAATACCATATAAATTGTAACCAAATCTGAACATGATTGAATTGTTCTCCATTTAAGTTTTCATATCCTTAAAATAAGTTTAATTATGTAAAGAAAACTACAATCAGAAAAAGATTTCATTAATCTTAGAGTTTGTGTGGGCTTTATTAGCTAAGAAATACCTTTATATCATAATCTGTTAACATGAATCAAAATATATTTTCACAATTCTTGGGTATTGAATTGTGTCCCCTAAAAAGGTATGTTAAAGTCCTAACCCCCACTATGTGTGGATAGCTGTAATCAAGTTAAGATGAGGTTGTACTGGATTAGGGTTGGTCCAAATCTAATGACTGGTGTCCTTATAAGATGAGAGAAATTTGGAAAGAGAGATACACAGAGAGAATAGCATTTGACAATGGGACCCAGATTGGGGTGATGTATCTGTAAGCCAAGGAATGCCAAGGCGTGCCAGCAACCACCAGAAACCAGGAGAGGCAAGGAAGCCTTCAGGGGGAGCACTGCCCTGCCAACACCTTGATTTTGAACTTCTAGCCTCCGGGACTCTGAGAGAATACATACCTGTTGTTTTAAAGTACCCAGTATGGTATTTTGCTACAGCAGCCCCCAAACTAATGCAATAAAGCAGCAGTTCATGGTGACCTAGGAAAATGTTTCTTGGAAAAATAGTTGAAATTTCAAGAATATGGGATTCTATGCATTCACAGAAAACAGATCGGAGGAGTACAGAAGATAAATCATGCCAAATGGGACCAAAGTGTTCGAATAGGAAAGAAAGAGATAATTGATATAGACCAGGTCTCTACATAAAAATAAAATAGGCATAAATGTGAATAATTCATTTCTCAGATAACAAAGACTCTAAATGGATAAAAAGAAAGAAAAGACTGCTTCAAATGCATATGACTTTGTGATTAAGACTATTGTGAGAGTTTATCAAACAATGGGGCTAAAAGAAAGCACGGATGGCTTTATTCATGCAGGAAAAAAGGGAGTGTATTCATGTTGGGAAAGGTGTTGTAAACACAGTACTAAATACTTCACAATTTTCAAAAACTGTGCAACTGTAATTGCTCAGTGCTGTACACAGAGCAGTGACTAATTGCCGTTCTTTTGCTTATTTTTAGATAAAGGATCTGCAGCTATAGAGCTCTTCTCCATGACATTTTCACAGAACACACTATTTAAAGATTTACATCATTTCATCACTCCAGGTAAATTATTTCTTAAGAATGCCATAAATTCTACTTAAGTCATTTCCTGCCTCCCAATGAAATGAAAGGCATCTCTAAAGTGATTTCAATGTATCTTTTTGAGTGTGTGTGTTTTATATTTTTGCATTTTCCCAGGAAGAAAGGGAGACAGTGACTCAATTAATACCTTATGCTTATCCTCTCATTATTCCATTCTTGGTTGGGGTGATCATTTGAAATAAATGGAGGGTGTTTGCTCAAACCTCTCAGGCTGGTGCTTGTTAAGTACCAGCCCGCCTGCCCTGTTGTTTTTGTAGTCCCGTCATGGATGAAAGGATGCTCGTTCTCACCGGTCTAAGTAACCTTTGGAAATGAATTTTTTCCTCCTAGTTATTTCTGCTAACATTAAAAGAGAGAGAGAGAGAAATGTTTGACACTGATAAAAAGTTACAGCCTTAATATTTATTTAAAAATGAAGAAGTGTCAGCCCATCAGAGACACTGGGCTGGAACTGATGAGTTACATGATTCCCTGGACTGAATTGTAAAGCATTCCTTACTAAGCTGATCACAAAATCTAGGTATTAACACTCATATTTTTTGTTAAGGTAACCTCAGGTTCATGTGCAGTTGTTGTAACAAGTAACATAGAGAGCTCATCTACATCCCCTACTCAGTTTCCCCCCGTAGTGTGCCGGATTGATACAATCCATTGGGATTATTCACATTTCTCCAGTTTTACTAAAACTTGTTTGTGTGTATGTGTGTGTGTAAAAAGCTATATACAATCTATCACATCTGTAGGTTCATGTATCTACCATCACAGACAGGATGCTAAACAGTTTTAACACCAGAAGGACCCTTCAGGTTGCTCTTTTGTAACCAAACCCACCTCTCTCCTGACCCCCTTCCGTAATCCCTGACACCCACAAAACTGGTCTCCGTTTTGTCATTTCAAAATGTTCCATTAATGGAATCATACAGTATATAAATGTTAGAGATTTTTTTTCACCCTGGAGATTTAACCAAGTTGTGTGTATGTATCAGGTTCGTTCCTTTTCTTGGAGCTACGGGTGTGCCAGAGTTTATTTAACCCTTCGGCGATTGAAGATCAACTGGGCTATTTCCATTTGGGGCCTATTATGAATAAAGCTGCTACGAACAACTGTGCACAGGTTTTTGTGTGAACACAGTTTTGTTTCTCTGGGATAAATGCCCAGGAACATAGTTGCTGAATAATAGATAATGGCATGTGTAATTTTATAAGAAACTTCCAATTTTTTTTTTTTACGATAATCTACCATTCTATATTCCCACCAGCAATATAGGAGTAATCTAGTGTCTGCTCATGACTGCAGGTATTTAGTGTTGTCATAATTTTTTATTTGAGCCATTCTGCTAGGTAGGTAGTGATATCTGTTTGCCAGATAATTCCAATATCCAGTTCGTCTCAGTAGTGGCCTTACCTTTTGTTGTTGGTTGACTTTTCTCCACCGGGTTGATTATCTTGGTTCCTGGTAGGACAGATTATTTGATTGTATTTTGTCTGTCCAATTAGCAGACTCTCGATCTTATTTAAATCTTTTATTTTAGCAAGCAGTTACCCTGTCTATGTTTAGCCGAAGGTCCTGGCCTCCTTTTGTGGTCAGTTCAGTTTCAGACCCTTTGCTTTGTTAATTTTATCTGCTTGCTTTATCTGGTGCTGCTGTGGCTCCTGCTGGTGCTGACACTGCCTGAGAGGATAGAAGTAGTTTCAACAGCCAGAACATGGGGGGTCTCTTAGAGGTGTCTCTTAGAATGGAAGAGGGTTCTCAGGCCCATGAATTCTCAGTCTTTATCTTACACAGCCTTTCCAGAAACACTTACCATAGTTGATTATACTATTCTTTTTTTTTTTTTTTAAACCCTGTGCTAACTTGGCTTCTGGAATAACTCTTCTGCTTTTTCTCACTACTTGTTCTTTTCAGTCTCGTTTGCTATTGTTTCTCTTCAACCTCTAAATATTAAATAGCATTGAGGGTCAGGGATCAAAAATTGCCCCTTCAATTATAGGTGATTTAACAGAGGTTAATACTTTTAAATATTATCTATATGCTCAAATTTATATCTTCGGCCTTAACTTCTCCCATGAACCCCAAGCTCACATTTCTAACAGCCTATCCCTACCTCATTAGTATATCTAATAGTATTTCAGTGTTCTAGTTGCTTAAGTAAAACTTTAAAGTTTACTAGTTTCTTTACATTGTACATCAAATCTATCGTCAAAGCTCTTGGCTCTACCTTCAAAATATATCCAGACTTTGGCCATATCACCACCTCACTATGAACATCTTGGTCCAGACCACTAGAAGTTGTTGCCTGGACTGTTGCAATATCCTCCATACCGTTCTCCTGTTTTCGCTATCGCTCTCCTATAGTCTTATTTACAGTAGATCCTGTGTTTCCTCTGCTCAGAACCCTCTAATGTCCAGTGATTTTCCTTCTCACTCATAGAAAAAGTCAATGTCATTACCATGCCCTATAGGTAATTTAATGGTATGACCCCTGACTTTATTTTTTCTACCACTGACCACCCCCACTCACTCTGCCCAGCCATGTTTCTTGAGCACGAGCCATTTGCTCCTGTTTCCACACCTTTCCACTTGCTGCTACTTCTTCTGGGGACCTTATACCCCTAGATACTTATATGCCTCCGTCCCTCATCATCAGGCATTGTCAATTCTAATGTCGTATATCGCAAAGCACTTTGGGGCTATCCTATAGAAAATAGCTGCATACTCACATACAGCACCCCCTTCTCTTTCCCCTTCTCTCGCTGTAATTCGATCCATAGCACATAACAGTGATTGGTTTATATATACATATATGTATATAAAATGTTTTATATTTATATATCATATAATTATGTGTTATATTTAAGGATAAAATATAATTATATACTATGTTTCCCTAAATCCTCTCATCAGAACAAAAGCACCATGAAACCAGAGACTTTGCCTGTTTTGTTCATTTGCCATACCCGGTGCCTACAAAATGTGTTTGTTTAATGAGCAGTTGATGAATGACTGAAAGAATAAATGAGTAAATGCTTACATGAAGAATGTATTTGGGGGAGGGGGGGGAATCATAGAACGTACACTCTTTCACCAAAGAACTAGCAAAAAAAACGTGGGCTTCCTGCTGGGAGTTTGGTCCCTCACACTGTTCTGGGTTTCTTACTTTGTCCCAGTGCTTCTTGTTCGCCCTTCAGGCACCGTTGGAAGTCCACGCTTCTCTTCAGAACCTTATTCTAATCACCAAGGGTCTTACAAGTTGGTTTGCTTCCCTTCCCAAATTTTCTTTCCTTCCAATACCTGTAGTTCCTTTCTGGCTGCCTGTTTGATTTCTTCACAGAGAATGCATTTGTCCACTTATCAGACAAGTATTTACTGAGAATCTGTTATGTGCCGGGCAATGTTCTGTGCATTTCCCTCTCTCTAAGCTGAGTGCTCTGCACTGCTCTTCCTGGCAACTGTGCACTCTCTATGGGATCAACGTTCCCTGAAAGATCAGTATTTTCACGTGCTCTATTGATGAAAGACACTTTCAGGAGGAGAAAAAAAATCATTTCCAGCCGAGAGTATATGATGAAAATAGATGCCCCATTTCCCAGAAACATTAGCAGCCTACACTTCCTATGTATACCATTAAATAAACTGGAAACATCACATGATATACATTATCGCTTCTTCATATCCAAGAAGACATCAGTTATAGTATCATTAGGTTTATTAAAGAACAAAAATAAAATTCTTAATTAAGCCAAATGTTAGGAATAATAAGTTTGGAAATGATCATTAAACAGTGGAAAAAATAATGTTTATGTAGAAGTAAATTTGAAAAAGAGACAAAAATAGAACAGGGCCCTCCTCACAACGGCTGTGTTGACCCTCTGTCAGACATCTGACATCATCTGAGTTCTGCTTTCCTAGTGAGGTAGGCTTCAGGTTACCAAGCTACCACTGGCTTCTTGGTGTTGTAAAATGTAACTGTGCCTACAAAGCAACTTCTGAAGATATATAAAAATTTTCCTTTAGAAGATAAACAGGGACTATATTAAATTGTAACTGGTATTTGACTCTACCAACTGGTTGGTTATTAACTAATATATTGTAATTAATTTAACTTTATATGATCAAGATGTGCTATTATGCAAGGCTGTCTATTAGCCTTGTGCAGCAGTAAAAGCTTTGCCCAATGTTGTCTGTATACTCGAGTTCATGTTTAAGTTTGTGGATTCATGAATTATAGGATGCTAGAGAGGTTCCTTACTGATTCTGTGTAATTTTATTACCCATTCCAAGAATAAATGGATTATGTGATATATGAATAAACAATAATAATGGAACATACCTGAAATTTCATGTAAATAGCATTAGGCTTGTAAAGAAAATGATTTATCCATTCATTCATTTATCCATTCATTTATCTAAAAAAAATATATTATTTGAGAGACTGATATGTACCAGTGTAGAGACTAGAGATTCTGCAGAGACGAGATAAAGTTCTTAGCTCCATGCAGGATACATTCTAGAGGGTTATCAGATCATAAACAAAGCAATAAGTAAATAAGATACTCACAGACTGTGATAAGTGCAATGAATGAAATAAGAAGGTGGAGACACAGAGTTATAAGAGGAGGGTAATTTTGCTTGAATGATCAGAGAACAGCTCTCCAGGGTCATTTGCACATCTCAAAGAAGCAAGTGCTCCAACATCTGCAAGAACATGTCCTGATCTTGAGCAAGCTGTCCTGAAGCAACTATCAAAGATGATCATTTACATGCTTGATAGCCAGTTTTTTCTGTGCCATTTAAAAATAATGCTTCCCTTCCTTATTGGTTTTTGATGCTTCCTTCATCATAATGTTATATACTCTAGAGTTTTTAAATAGCAATAATATTTACCTTTTTCATTACCTGAAATATATTTTGGCGTGAGGCAGTGGACAGTTAGCCCATTCGGTTATGCAGCTCTCTCCCG